CTCACCTTCACTCTCACATTCACCTCACCTTCCCCTCTCACCTTCACTCTCACCTTCACTCTCACCTTCACTCTCACCTTCTCTCTCACCTTCAAATCCATAATTCACTCTCACATTCACTCACATTCACTGTCACCTTCACTCCCACCTTCACTCAGTCACTCACCTTCACTCTCACATTCACTCTCACATTCACTCACCTTCACTCTCACCTTCACTCTCACCTTCACTCACCTTCACTCTCACATTCACTCTCATCTTCACTCACCTTCACTCTCACCTTCACTCACCTTCACTCTCACCTTCACTCTCACCTTCACTCACATTCACTCTCCACCTTCACTCACCTTCACTCTCACATTCACTCACGTTCACTCTCACTTTCCCCTCACCTTCACTCTCACCTTCACTCACCTTCACTCTCACCTTCACTCTCACCTTCACTCCCCCTTCACTCTCACCTTCACTCTCACCTTCACCTCGCCTTCACTCTCACATTCACTCTCACATTCACTCTCAAATTCACTCTCACCTTCACTCTCCACCTTTGCTCTCACCTTCAACTCACCTTCACTCACCTTTCGGGTCTCACCTTCACTCTCACCTTCACTCTAACCTTCACTCTCACCTTCACTCTCGCCTTCACTCTCACATTCACTCTCACATTCACTCTCACATTCACTGTCACCTTCACTCTCACCTTCACTCTCACCTTCGCTCTCACCTTCACTCTCGCCTTCACTTTCACATTCACTCTCACATTCACTCTCACATTCACTCTCACCTTCACTCTCACCTTCACTCTTGTAGACAGCCTGTAATGACTGCACAGACAGCCCATGCTGTCTGCCAGCTTAGTTCATATTTCGCGCCACTCAAGTGCTGCCACCTATAGGCCTTGCCACTTCAGTATGCCCAGACTTGCCTCGCTCTCACTCACACAGCGGCCTAGCAGGAAGACACAAGGCCTCCCAGCTCTCTCTCGTGGGATGGACCTGCCCGGGCCATGGGCACAACACACAAGCCTGTGTGCACCCACTACGACATTAACAATAAACGAAGAAGCCTCCGAAGATGTATCATTCACACCCGCTTGCAACAGCCTACCAAACAACCCCATTATACTCTCACCTTCGCTCTCACCTTCACTCTCACATTCACTCTCACATTCACTCTCACATTCACTCTCACCTTCACTCTCACCTTCACTCTCACCTTCACTCACCTTCACTCTCACATTCACTCTCACCTTCACTCTCACCTTCACTCTCACCTTCACTCACCTTCACTCTCGCCTTCACTCTCACATTCACTCTCACATGTGTGTGTGTTAGGAGTGAGTCGAGGCAAATGGTTTTTATGTGATGTGTTGGTGTGTGAGCAAGGTAACATTTATGAAGGAATTTAAAAAACCTGTTAGCCAGACTTGAATCCTGGAGGTGGGAAGCAGAGCCTGCACTCTGAAGGAGAGGTGGGGATGTTGCAGTTTGGAAGGGCATCTGAACTGTAATGTTGGTGCATCTCTGGTAAGAATGTGATTGAGTGCTAGTGAAGGTGTTTTTTTTCTAAAGTGGCCTCCTACCTCTGTGGGGGTCAGGTGGCCTCCTACCTCTGTGGGGACAGGTGGCCTCCTACCTCTGTTGTGGGTCAGGTGGCCTCCTACCTCTGTGGTGGGTCAGGTGGCCTCCTACCTCTGTGGGGGGTCAGGTGGCCTCCTACCTCTGTGGGGGGACAGGTGGCCTCCTACCTCTGTGGGGGTCAGGTGGCCTCCTACCTCTGTGGGGGGTCAGGTGGCCTCCTACCTCTGTGGGGGTCAGGTGCCTCCTACCTCTGGGGGGGACAGGTGGCCTCCTACCTCTGTGGGGGATAGGTGGCCTCCTACCTCTGTGGGGGTCAGGTGGCCTCCTACCTCTGGGGGGACAGGTGGCTTCCTACCTCTGTGGGGGTCAGGTGGCCTCCTACCTCTGTGGGGGGTCAGGTGGCCTCCTACCTCTGTGGGGGGTCAGGTGGCCTCCTACCTCTGTGGGGGGTCAGGTGGCCTCCTACCTCTGTGGGGGGACAGGTGGCTTCCTACCTCTGTGGGGGGTCAGGTGGCCTCCTACCTCTGTGGGGGGTCAGTGGCCTCCTACCTCTGTGGGGGTCAGGTGGCCTCCTACCTCTGTGGGGGTCAGGTGGCCTCCTACCTCTGTGGGGGGTTAGGTGGCCTCCTACCTCTGTGGGGGGTCAGGTGGCCCTCCTACCTCTGGGGGGGGTCAGGTGGCCTCCTTCCTCTGTGGGGGGTCAGGTGCCTCCTACCTCTGTGGGGGGTCAGGTGGCCTCCTACCTCTGGGGGGGGTCAGGTGGCCTCCTACCTCTGTGGGGGGTCAGGTGGCCTCCTATCTCTGTGGGGGGTCAGGTGCCTCCTACCTCTGTGGGGGGTCAGGTGGCCTCCTACCTCTGTGGGGGGTCAGGTGGCCTCCTACCTCTGTGGGGGTCAGGTGGCCTCCTACCTCTGTGGGGGGTCAGGTGGCCTCCTACCTCTGTGGGGGTCAGGTGGCCTCCTACCTCTGTGGGGGTCAGGTGGCCTCCTACCTCTGTGGGGGTTAGGTGGTCTCCTACCTCTGTGGGGGGTCAGGTGGCCTCCTACCTCTGGGGGGGGTCAGGTGGCCTCCTACCTCTGTGGGGGTCAGGTGGGCCTCCTACCTCTGTGGGGGGTCAGGTGGCCTCCTACCTCTGGGGGGGTCAGTGTGCCTCCTACCTCTGTGGGGGTCAGGTGGCCTCCTACCTCTGTGGGGGGTCAGTGGCCTCCTACCTCGTGGGGGGTCAGGTGGCCTCCTACCTCTGTGGGGGGTCAGGTGGCCTCCTACCTCTGTGGGGGTCAGGTGGCCTCCTACCTCTGTGGGGGGTCAGGTGGCCTCCTACCTCTGTGGGGGGTCAGTGGCCTCCTACCTCTGTGGGGGGTCAGGTGGCCTCCTACCTCTGTGGGGGTCAGGTGGCCTCCTACCTCTGTGGGGGTCAGGTGGCCTCCTACCTCTGTGGGGGTCAGGTGGCCTCCTACCTCTGTGGGGGTCAGGTGGCCTCCTACCTCTGTGGGGGGTCAGGTGGCCTCCTACCTCTGTGGGGGGTCAGGTGGCCTCTCCTACCTCTGGGGGGGGGACAGCTGGTGTTAAGTGATTCAAAGAATAAAAATTAATAGTAGTAGGAAGCAGTTTAATATAGAGGAAGAATCTGGGTTCTGATAATAAACTAAAATTAAACTGTAGCAGTAAGATACTACTGTTTTGACTTTAATGTGAATTGTAAAGTATATTAAATACTTTTGCGCCCGGCATGATTTATTTTTTCTCTTTATCATATAAGATGGCAGGTAAATGTTAACTTCAGCTTTGACTTATTTCCTATATAAAACTTAATAGTTCTTGTTCCTGTGATATTCACTTAAGTGCAAAAATTATAGGCAATGAGTCTGTCGAGTATACCTGGTAAAGCGTTTGGTAGTTATTGAAAGAATTCAGAGTAAGACAGAGTAGGATGGCAGATGAACAAGGAGGCTTTACAAAAGGTAGGGGGCGTGTAGACCAAGTGTTTACATTGAAACATAGGTGGACAGTATTTAGATGACACTAAAGAGGTTTTTGTTGCATTTATGGATTTGGAAAAGGCATATGACAGGGTGGATAGGGAAGCAATTCGGCAGGTGTATGGTATAGGAGGTAGTTTATTGAAAATGGTGAAGTTTTTACGAGGATAGTGAGGCTCAGGTTAGAGTATGTAGGAGAGGGAGTTTCCCAGTAAAAGTATGGCTTAGACAAGGATGTGTGATGTCACTGTGGCTGTTCAACATATTTATAGATGGGGTTGTAAGAAGTGACTGCGAGGGCCTTGGCAAGAGGTGTGGAGTTAAAAGATAAAGAATCAAACAAAAAGTGGGAGTTGTCAAAGTTGCTCTTTGCTGATGACACTGCTTTTGGGAGATTCTGAAGAGTTGCAGAGGTTGGTGGATGAATTTGGTAGGGTATGTAAAAGAAGAAAATTAAGTGAATGTAGGAAAGAGTAAGGTGATGAGGATAACAAAGATTAGGTGACAAAAGACTGGATATCAGATTGGAGGGAGAGAGTATGGAGGAGGTGAAGATATTCAGATATTTAGGAGTGGACTTGTCAGCAGATGGGTCTATGAAGGATGAGGTGAATCATAGAATTGATGAGGGGAAAAATGGTGAGTGGTGCACTTAGGAGTCTGTGGAGACAAAAAACTGTCAGTGGAGGCAAAGAGGGGAATGCAAGCGAGAATAGTTATACCAACACTCCTATGTGGGTGTGAAGCATGGGTGATGAATGTTGCAATGAGGAGAAGGCTGGAGGCAGTGGAGATGTCATGTCTTTGCTGTGTAGTGTGAATATAGTGCAGAAAATTCGTAGCTTGGAAATTGGGAGGTGTGGGATTACCAAAACTATTATCCAGAGGGTTGAGGTGGTTTCTCCATGCAGAGAATGGAACAAAACAGAATGACTCGGTGTATAAATCTGTAGTGGAGGGAAGATGGGGTAGGGGTCGGCCTAGGAATGATTGGAGGGAGAGGGTTAAGGTTTTGTGTACAAGGGGCTTGGACTTCCAGCAAGCATACATGAGTGTATTTGATAGGAGTGAATGGAGGCAAATTGCTTTTAATACTTGACATGCTGTTGGAGTGGGAAGAAAGTAACATTTATGAAGGGATTCAGGGAAACCGGCAGGTTGGACTAGAGTCCTGGAGATGGGAAGTACAGTGCCTGCACTCTGAAGGAGGGGTGTTAATGCTGCAGTTTAAAAACTGTAGTGTAAAGCACCCCTATGGCTTGACAGTGATGGGGTGAATGATGATGAAAGTTTCTTTTTCGGGCCATGCTGCCTTGGTGGGAATCAGCCGATGTGTTAATAAAAAAAATAAAATTCACTTTAGGCATTTGTTAGATTTTTTATGCCTTGCTGCTTTTATAACATTAATGTTGTGTTATAATGAAACATTTTTTATCTTCAGAAATAAAATGAGAAAGCAGTGTCCAGTTGACCTTCCTAGATCACCACTTAAGGTAAGATAGTTGTTTGTAGTAATAGTACAGTCACATATTGTCAAGTGTTATGGTCACCATAATTTCAGCTACATTGAGTCCTGGAAATGGGAAGTACAATGCTTGCACTTAAAAGGACGGATTTGGGATATTGGCAGTTTGGAGGGATGAGTTGTGTATCTTTATACGTATACGCTTCTAAACTGTTGTATTCTGAGTGCCTCTGCAAAAACAGTGATAATGTGTGTGGTGAAAGTGTTGAATGTTGATGAAAGCATTTTCTTTTTGGGGATTTTCTTTCTTTTCTGGGTCACCCTGCCTCGGTGGGTAACGGCCGACTTGTTGAAAAAAAAAATTAGTGTATGTGAGGTAAACTGAACTTCACTGAGGTCAGGTCAAGTGATCTGTTGTGGGATCACCTAGAAGCTGTCTCCTGAACTCACCTCAGCTGTTCACCTCGCCTGACCTCGCATTTTTACCTTGCCTGATCCCACAACAGTTACACATAGCAGTTCAATTTGTCACATGTACTTTTACCTCTATGAAACTATTTCTCATGCATCGTGTATATTTAGAAGGAACAAGGTGCATGGGGCTCAACAACAATTAACCATCTCAGACCACTAATTACCCAACAAAAGGCTGCAGTTAGAATGATAACAAATTCTCACTACAGGCAGCACACTCCACCAATATTCAATACACTAAACCTACTCACCATACAAAACATCCATACTTATTACTGCACCTATTACATACATAGAACACTTAACTCTGATATTAACCCTCCCCTCAAAATCTCCTTGCCAAACCTCAACAGAACACAACCATAACAAGGCAGTCACTTTTGTTTCCTCGTGTCCATCTCACACTAAAAAAAAATTTAAATGCAAAAAAAACCCAAAAATCGGTTTTCTTTCCCCTGTAAAAAAAAAAGAAACAAAACCTTTTAAAAATTCAAGTCTTTCCCCAAAAGATCACTTACTCACCCAAAACCAAATAAATAGAATAACTAACCCTTAAAATTTATATTTTTAAAATGTTTCTCCAAAATTTATTAAACATAAATTTTAAACCTAAAACCCAATCAAAAACTTTATTTTTTTAAATACAAACCTAACAGAATATCCATACCCTAATGTAAACAATGCATGAAACCATATGACCGTCTTTTTAAAATCGTTTGTGCTTTATAGTAACTGTTTACATAATGTTTTATCATGATTTCATCATTGCTTAGTTAATCTTAAGTTAATTTAAGCCAGCCCGTAATGCATGCATGAAATAAGTGGCTTTGGCATACTGTTTTACCTGTTTTTTTTTGCCCCTCGTATTGGGGCTAAAATTGGGTTAATAAATAAATAAATAAATAAAAATACTTTGTTAATAAGGTTTTATTTTTTTGGGGCTTTTTTTATTTCTATTACGGGTTATCTTTACAAATTGCGAAACTATAAATTATATTCACGGGAAAGCTCCGTCGCAAAGTACTGTAAAATAGGAAAAAATAAATGGGGGGAAAATAGCTTCAATTTTTTTTTCGGGTTTACCATTTTTTTTGAACCCAAACAGGGTATGAAATGTTGCCCTGAGCTTTTAAATTTTTAAATTTTTATTTTTTATAACTGTAGCACAATTTTTTTACAACATTTCGCCCAAACAAAGTTTTTTTAAAGTCCTTTAATTTTTTCCCTGTGAAATTTTTTTTCATGCTTTAAAAATTTTAATTAGCTCTTTTTCCATCCCCAAGGTGCATTGTTTGTCGCTAATACACCTCAGTTTAGTTTGTAGCAAAAAGTCTTTCACTTCCCCTTTAGCTAGGGTTAAATATAATAAAAAAAAAATCGCATTAAATCTTTTTTCGCCCCCAACGCAGGAAAAAAATGAGCACACAGTCATCTGTATCCCCAAATTAATGTTTTAATGGTACCCCATCCCACCCCGGGGGGATGAAAACTAGTTGGTTTTTTAAAACCTTTTCGGGCCACGGGCCCCCTCTCAACTTGTTCTCAGGGCCCCCCAAATTTAAAAAAAAAAAAAAATTTTTTTTCCAATAAAAGATAGAATTTTTTTCCCAATCATAATGACCCAAAAAATTATAAAATTTTGAACAAAAACTTATGGAATTATGCCTCGCAAGTTAGCGGGCTCAGCGATGTTTAGCATCGGGGATTTTTGCCCACTTTGACCCTAATTTTTCAGCCCAAATTTCCATGTATATCGACAAAAAACATAACATTTCGCTAGAACCTTTTCCCTTTTTTCTATTAATGAGTACAAGAACCACCAATTTACTGATTTCAACAGATAGGGGGTTAGTAGATGGGAGAGGAGGGATAGGTAGAGGGAGAATATTTTAGGAACTTTTAAATGTTTTAGGAAAAAAAGGGAGGCATAATTTCATCCTGGCAGGAGGTATACCATCTTTTAGGGGTGAAAAAGAGCAGAATTAAGTGTGGTGGAGGTCGTGGGCATTACATAGAAAGAAAGGGGGGGAAAGCAGCTGGAACTGATGGGATCATACAGAAAGTTTAAAAGCAGGGGGGGGTATAGTGTTGGAGGGTTGGTACTTTGTTTTTTTAAATGTATGAAAAAGGGGAAGGTACCTAGGGATTGGGAAGGCATGTAAGTCCCTTTTAAAAGGGAAAGGGACAAAAGAAATTGTAAAAATTATAGAGGAATAAATTTTTTGAGTTTAAACCCGGAAAAGTATAAAAGGTAGGTTATAATTAAAGAATTAGAGGTAAAACAGAATGTAAATTCGGACGAGCAAGGAGGGTTCAGAGTGGGAGGGATGTGTAGATCAATGTTTACATTGAAACATATAGTGAACAGTATTTAGATAAAGGTGGGAAGTTTTTTTTGCATTTATGGATTTTGAAAGGGATACGATAAGTGGGAGGAGCAATGTGGGGATGTTGAAGTTTTGGGAAAAGGTGGTAAGTTTTTTTTCTAAATCTTAAAGATTTTTTTTGAGGATAGTGAGGCTCAGGTTTGGGTGTGTAGAAGAAGGGGGAAAACTTCCCGGGAAAATGGCTTAAAAAGGGATGTTCAATGCACCATGGTTGTTTAATATATTTTGATGGGGTTTAAAAGAAGTAAATGCTAGGGGGTTTGGGGGAGGGGTGGGATTAAATTATGGGGAATCAAATTCAAAATGGGAATTGACAGTTACTTTTTGCTGATGATACTAAAGAAAAATTGCAAAGGTTAGTGGATATGTTTGAGAATGTGTGTAAAGGTAGAAAGTTGAAAGTGAACATAGAAAAGATAAGGTGATAGGGTATCAAATGATTTAGATAAAGAAAAATTGTATATCAAATTGGGGAGGAGGAGTATGGAAGAAGTGAACGTTTTCAGATACTTGGGAGTTGACGTGTCAGCGGATGGATGTATGAAGGATGAGGTTAATCATAGAATTGATGAGGGAAAAAAGGTGAGGGGTGCATTGAGGTATATGTGGAGTCAAAAAACGTTATCTATGGAGGCAAAGAAGGGAATGTATGAAAGTATAGTAGTACCAACACTCTTATATGGATGTGAAGTTTGGGTGGTAAATGCAGCAGCGAGGAGAACGGTTGGAGGCAGTGGAAAATGTCCGGGTCAAAGGGGCAATGTGTGGTGTAAATATTATGCAGAAAATTCGGAGTGTGGAAATTAGGGAGAAGGTGTGGAGTTAATAAAAGCATTAGCCCAGAGGGCAGAAGAGGGGGTTGTTGAGGTGGTTTTGGTCTTTAGAGAGAATGGATCAAAGTTAGAATGACATTGAAAGCATAAATCTATAGGGAAGGAAAGAGGGGTAGGGGTCGTCCTCGAAAGGGTGGAAAAGGGGTAAAGGGGGTTTTTGTGGGCGAGGGGCTTGGACTTCCAGCAAGCATGCATGAGCGGGGTTAATAGGAGTGAATGGAGACGAATGATACTGGGACCTGACGATCTGTTGAGTGTGAGCAGGGTAATATTTAGTGAAGGGATTCAGGAAACCGGGTTATTTTCATATAGCCGGACTTGAGTCCCTGGAAAGGGGAAAGTACAATGCCTGCACTTTAAAGGAGGGGTTTGGGATTTTGGCAGTTTGGAGGGATATGTTGTGTATCTTTATACGTATATGCTTCTAAACTGTTGTATTCTGAGCACCTCTGCAAAAGCAGTGATAATGTGTGAGTGTGGTGAAAGTGTTGAATGATGATGAAAGTATTTATTTTTGGGGATTTTCTTTCTTTTTTGGGTCACCCTGCCTCGGTGGGAGACGACCGACTTGTTGAAAAAAAAAAATACAGTGGCCAGAATTTAGCAATTTTGCCAATTTTACACAAATTTCAAAAGATGCCAATTTCCAAATAGGGTCCAGAATAAAAGACATTCCTGGCACTAAAATAACATTTCCTCTGTTCATTAGTCACGTCCCCAGGCCCCTCTTACATTTCTTTTGCTTTCCACTTTGAATTTTTATTCTCACAAAAAAATAAGATTTACTGTTATGCAGACTACTGCATTAGTGTAGAAATGGTATAAATAATATCAGCACACTTGTGAAAGAATATTACTCGCCAGTTGACGTGTATTGGATGCTTTGCATGATTTGTTTACTTTTGAACTTTGGTAAAAAATCTAAAATTTCTGCTACTTTGAGCTCAGTTTCAAGGTACTTTTCATTGTAAAACCAGTCAAAATCATCTCTATTTCTGTAATGTCTTCCATTCTATACAATGAGACCAGGGAAAGTAATAAAACAACAAATACTATATGAAAATATAGTGCAAAGTCTTTGTTTTAATCCAAAAACACAGTCAAAGTTTTTTCTCATTATGCATTGTGCTGCAGGATTTTTTTTATACTGTGCACACTGACTACATAGACCCATTCTTTCATATATAGGCCTACAAGCTTTCTCTCACTAGATTTGAAGGCGCTAGAATTTATGCGTACTAGTGCGTCATGGACACTGGCACGTAAGCCGTACTAGTACAGCCGAAACCCTAAATGGGTTAAGGGATTTTCAAGTGCATTCGTAATTTGGTCCTGACCAGAAGAGGTGCCAAACATCACCTCCCAGAAAATTGTTTTACATTTATTATTATTATTCTTATTAGTATTAGTAGTAGTAGTATTATGATAATTGTAGGGAAAACTAACTTAGCCAATTTCTCAACAGATCTGGATTAATGAGGATAGGAAACTGCCATACGAAGAAGCTATGACATGTAAAGAATGGAAACAGAAGTTTCAGAATCTTGAGAAGGAAGACAAATTGAAGCATATCATTACTTCACTCAGAGAATTTTATGAGTATAAGGCAAGTGGTTTTGTAGCTGTTTTATGAGTATAAGACAAGTGGTTTTGTAGCTGTTTTATGAGTATAAGACAAGTGGTTTTGTAGCTGTTTTATGAGTATAAGGCAAGTGGTTTTGTAGCTGTTTTTTTAGTATAAGACAAGTGGTTTTGTAGCTGTTTTATGATATAAGGCAAGTGGTTTTGTAGCTGTTTTATGAGATAAGACAATTTGGTTTTGTGGGCTGTTTTTGAGTATAAGACAAGTGGTTTTGTAGCTTTTTTAAATGAGTATAAGGCAAGTGGTTTTGTAGCTGTTTTATGAGTATAAAAACAAGTGGTTTTGTAGCTGTTTTATGAGTATAAGGCAAGTGGTTTTGTAGCTGTTTTATGAGTATAAGACAAGTGGTTTTGTAGCTGTTTTATGAGTATAAGACAAGTGGTTTTGTAGCTGTTTTATGAGTATAAGACAAGTGGTTTTGTAGCTGTTTTATGAGTATAAGACAAGTGTTTTGTAGCTGTTTTATGAGTATAAGGCAAGTGGTTTTGTAGCTGTTTTATGAGTATAAGACAAGTGGTTTTGTAGCTGTTTTATGAGTATAAGACAAGTGGTTTTGTAGCTGTTTTATGAGTATAAGGCAAGTGGTTTTGTAGCTGTTTTATGAGTATAAGACAAGTGGTTTTGTAGCTGTTTTATGAGTATAAGGCAAGTGGTTTTGTAGCTGTTTTATGAGTATAAGACAAGTGGTTTTGTAGCTGTTTTATGAGTATAAGACAAGTGGTTTTGTAGCTGTTTTATGAGTATAAAAAAACAAGTGGTTTTTGTAGCTGTTTTATGAGTATAAGAACAAGTGGTTTTGTAGCTTTTTTAAATGAGTATAAGGCAAGTGGTTTGTAGCTGTTTATGAGTATAAGACAAGTGGTTTTGTAGCTGTTTTATGAGTATAAGACAAGTGGTTTTGTAGCTGTTTTATGAGTATAAGGCAAGTGGTTTTGTAGCTGTTTTATGAGTATAAGACAAGTGGTTTTGTAGTTTTTTTTATGAGTATAAGGCAAGTGGTTTTTGTAGCTGTTTTATGAGTATAAGACAAGTGGTTTTGTAGCTGTTTTATGAGTATAAGGCAAGTCAAAATGGTTTTATAACTGTTAAAATCTGAAAGGCTAATGCTCACTATAATACATATAATTTACAAGAAAGCTGTACTTTTGAGAGAAAACTCGACATTTTCTTCCATCCCAGACCATTATTTAGTCAAAACTGGATGGTTTTATCATCACTGGACATATCTTCCAACTTTTTTTTTTTTCTTTCTTTTGCATTTTTGCTTCCATACTTTTGTGACTTGTCAATAGTTGTCCAGAAAGCAGTGAAATGCTTGATAATTTCCTCTGGACAGTGTGGAATTTTTGTGAATTGCTTCAGCCACAGCTGTTTTCAGGATCAGCAACTTATGTTGAGTGGATAGACTATGAAAGTAATGAAGCTGAAGCTTCAGGACCCCTAAGAGGGGCCCCAGAAGTGACTTTAGTCCACATTGCTTAAAATTTTTGTGTCTACTGTATGAGAGTTTTAAAAAATAACAGTGTAATTAAATACAAAATGATAGTTTTGCTGGTTGTGAAGGATCCCCATAAATTTCAGGGCCTCAAAAATGCAGGTCCACTACTGGCTTATAAGTGATGAATACATTACACAATTTCCACACTTCTCATCCCACCTACTGCACACATTTAAATTTTTATAAAAAATTAGATTTTTGGAAAATGGCACTTACTTTGAGTGGTAGGTGACCAAATATTTTTAATATTCTTAAGAAAAGTAATCCATATTTATTTTCCACCGATGTATTGCGTGTTAGATAGGAGTGAATGTAGGTGAATAGATTTTGGGATTTGATTAACAGTTGGAGTGTGAACAGGGTAATATTTTGTGAAGGGATTCAGAGAAACTGGTTAGCCAGATTTGAGTCCTGGAGGTGGGGAAGTACAATGCCTGCACTTTAAACAGGGGTTTGGGATATTTGTGGTTTAGTGACATCTGAACTGTCAATCTGAGTGCCTCTGCAGGACAGGGATTGTGTGAATGATTAAAGTTTCTCTTGCTCTGGGTTGCACTGCCTTGATGGCAGACTGCCAACTAAGTGTGTATTCTCTTGATTTTTGTTCATACCTCAATTTTGGCTGCAGAGGAAAGTTTGTGATTGTGCACAGTTTGGATTAAAAGTAATAATGTATAAAACAGATTGCATTTAATGTTTATTAATCTCTGTTAATGTTTAAATTAGTGTTCCACCATAGTTCAATTTTTTTATACATTACTGTATTACTATCAATCAGCATTTTATCCTTTTGTTGTGTATTTGCCTTTTGAATTACCCTAATTGCTTTTATTTTGCTTCTTCTCAGAAAAGTGCAGATGAATACTTGGAGAAAAATCCTGATTTTGTATTTCCCATCATTCAGGGTCCTAAAAAAAGTGATATACAGCTCTTCCCTGAGGGAGTAATATTGTTCCATTTTGTGTATGTTCTGATTATATACATGGGTACCTTGAGTTGCAGTATTATATACATGGGTACCTTGAGTTGCAGTATTATATACATGGGTACCTTGAGTTGCAGTATTAATCTGTTGCAGATGTATCCTAACCCAAAATTATCGGCTCAAAACCACAAAATAAGATTCTATGGTAATTTATTCCAAAACCCTGTAAGTGCAACTTTTACTGCAGCCTGCACTTTGCATGCTCAATTTATTATTTTTATAATCAGAAGTAAGTGCTGAATCTACAAGGGCTGGCTTAAATATAACATGCAGGTATTGTCCTCCTTCATCTGCTTCTCTTATCTACAGTAACAAGTCTTTCAATCTTTGTGATAATTTCTGCCTTATTTTCATTAGATTCATTGGCCATTAAAATATCCTCTGTCATTGCTTAATAGGATGGTTGATAGTGGAAAAACCATACTCAAAACCCAATGCCCTTCTAACTCCTGCATCTTGTTTTAAAACTTTTTTGAGCTTCTGATATCCCCGGTCATTGCACACTTTAGGGGCCATGATGACATGGTAAACACAGATAGCATAATTAAAGAGCAAATGCATATCATATATCAAATTTTTTCAAACCCCAACTCAAAACTAAACTCCTTTGAGGGGCAAATTATAACTCAGAACTATGGTAACTCCCTCCATTGAACCCAAAAGACTACTGTACTGAGACATATGTAACTTTATCAAATGAGCTATTCCTTAAACCATCCTTCAGAATGCTTTCTACTCTGACAGCATTGCTGTTTTTTTTTTTTGTTCTTGTAAATCTTGTATACTTATTTGGTAGCTTCCCTTCCCCATTAATGAGACATATGAGATTGTGCCCTATTCCAGATTTGGGCATTCTTTAATTATATTTATTGATAGTGTAACTTTTTATCCCCCTTATTATTCAAGTATTATAAGAAATGTTCCTATAATTTTTAGATACAGGAGAATGCCAATGCCTCCTCCCATCAGACCTACATGATGTATTATCATGAACTCGAAAGGCTGGAGAGTTGGACCATTTTCACGTTTCAAGGTCACGGGGCTTTGAGAGGTACAAAAACCTGCCTGTTCAAGAAAACTACATTACAATCTTTACTAGATAAGGTAAAGTGATCAGAACTGTTCACAAAGAAATTTATGAATATATAGTTAATTGGATAACGGCAAGAAATTAAAAAATAAGGAACAAATTAATAATGGTTCTAGTGCCTTGTGTTAAACTGTGAATGCTACACCTCACTCTTGGATTATTGTATTTGCAATGAAACATTGAACTTTTGCTTGGCCTCACTACCTAGGGAATGAGACATAGCCAGGTATGATTTTAGGAATGGTAGGGCAGCTCCAATTCAAAATTTCAGGGTTACTAAAAATTTAGCATAATGGCAGAAATTAATTTGTTTTCCAGAAAATGGAGAAGTACAGAATGCAGATGGATGCCTGGGAAGAGAATCAAGATGAGTTAACGTTGTTTATGAGAGCAAGACTGCTTGTGAGTACTGTATAACATTACTGTTCCTCTTGAGCAAGAGAGATAGAGAGCTGTTATAAAGCAAGTCTTGCAGTAGCCTCAGGACAACTTCTAAGCTGTTATAAAGCAATCTTGCAGTAGCCTCAGGACAACTTCTAAGCTGTTATAAAGCAAGTCTTGCAGTAGCCTCAGGACAACTTCTAAGCTGTTATAAAGCAAGTCTTGCAGTAGCCTCAGGACAACTTCTAAGCTGTTATAAAACAAGTCTTGCAGTAGCCTCAGGGCAACTTCTAAGCTGTTATAAAGCAAGTCTTGCAGTAGCCTCAGGACAACTTCTAAGCTGTTATAAAGCAAGTCTTGCAGTAGCCTCAGGACAACTTCTAAGCTGTTATAAAGCAAGTCTTGCAGTAGCCTCAGGAACAACTTCTAAGCTGTTATAAAGCAAGTCTTGCAGTAGCCTCAGGACAACTTCTAAGCTGTTATAAAGCAAGTCTTGCAGTAGCCTCAGGACAACTTCTAAGCTGTTATAAAGCAAGTCTTGCAGTAGCCTCAGGACAACTTCTAAGCTGTTATAAAGCAAGTCTTGCAGTAGCCTCAGGACAACTTCTAAGCTGTTATAAAGCAAGTCTTGCAGTAGCCTCAGGACAACTTCTAAGCTGTTATAAAGCAAGTCTTGCAGTAGCCTCAGGACAACTTCTAAGCTTTATAAAGCAAGTCTTGCAGTAGCCTCAGGACAACAGTGTGATCTTCACTGAACACATATTTCACTTACTGCTTTATGGAAGGAGTCAGGAAATAAAAACATGCTGCAAGTAGAAAACAAACTCAAATAATTCAATAAAGCATAAGTCTGATGTGAGAGACCTGGGAGTGATAATGTCAAGTCTCACGTTCAAGGAACGCAACAATGTCTACAGCAAATGTAAGGAAAAAGATAGATTGGATAACTAGAGCTTTCAAAATAAGGGATACAAAGTCAATAATGATACTCTTCGGGTCATTCGTTATCTCCAGGCTGGAAAATTGCTGTTGAAATGGTCCAAAACGTGCACACCGAAATCACCACATATGAACACAGTAAACTTGCCTGCCGGCGCAACATACCTCCGATGTAGAACAGATGAATGATGAGTACCCTGAGAGGGAGAGCTCAGTAAGTGTCAAGGGACCACGACTCTTCATGCACGAGGAAGAGTACCAACAGACAAATTCCTCAAATATGTTCCTGATCAGCCAGGCTGTGGTGCATACGTTGGACTGCTGGAGGCGAGAGCCAACAGCCTGATTGATCAGGCCAGCAACCAGGTGGCCTGGTCTGGGACCGGGTCGCAGGGGCGGTGACCCCCTGAAGCATCTACAGGTAGCCATCCCACTTCCCATTCTCTCTCTCCCAGTCTTACTTCCCTCACCCTTTTTATTTTTTTTACATCTCCCTCTCCCTCTGTACCACACTCCCTCTTCCCCAGCCTCCCTCTCTCTTCTTTCCTTCCACACTCCCTCTTCCCCAGCCTCCCTCTCTCTTCTTGCCTTCCACACTCCCTCTTCCCCAGCCTCCCTCTCTCTTCTTGCCTTCCACACTCCCTCTTCCCCAGCCTCCCTCTCTCTTCTTGCCTTCCACACTCCCTCTTCCCCAGCCTCCCTCTCTCTTCTTGCCTTCCACACTCCTCATTTCCTCCCTCTCACTTTCTCCCTCCCAGTCTCCCTCCCAGCCTCCCCCCCAGCTTCCCTATCAGCCTCCGTCCCAGCCTCCCACCCAGCCTCCCACCCAGCCTCCCACCCAGCCTCCCTCCCAGTCTCCCTCCCAGTCTCCCTCCCAGCCTCCCCCCCAGCTTCCCTCCCAGCCTATATCCCAGCCTGCCACCCAGCCTCCCCCCAGCTTCCCTCCCAGCCTCCCTCCCAGCCTCCCCCCCAGCTTCCCTCCCAGCCTATGTCCCAGCCTGCCACCCAGCCTCCCTCCCAGCTTCCCTCCCAGCCTCCCTCCCAGTCTCCCTCCCAGCCTCCCCCCCAGCTTGCCTCCCAGCCTATGTCCCAGCCTGCCACCCAGCCTCCCTCCCAGCTTCCCTCCCAGTCTTCCTCCCAGCCTCCCTCCCAGCCTCCCCCCCAGCTTCCCTCCCAGTCTCCCTCCCAGCCTCCCTCCCAGCCTCCCCCCAGCTTGCCTCCCAGCCTCCCCCCAGCTTCCCTCCCAGCCTCCCTCCCAGCCTCCCACCCAGCCTCCCTTCCAGCCTCCCTCCCAGCATCCCTCCCAGCCTCCCTCCTAGCCTCCCTCCAAGCTTCCTTCCCAGCCCTCCTCCCAGCTTCCCTCCCAGCTTCCCTCCCAGCCTCCCTCCTAGCCTCCTCCAAGCCTCCTTCCCAGCCCCCCTCCCAGCCTTCCACCCAGCCTCCCACCCAGGCTCCCTCCCTGCCCACCCAGCCTCCCACCCAGGCTCCCTCCCTGCCCCCCCAGCCTCCCACCCAGGCTCCCTCCCAGCCTCCCTCCAGCCTCCCTCCCAGCCTCCCTCCCAGCCTCCCTCCCAGCCTCCTCCCAGCCTCCCACCCAGCCTCCCTCCCAGCCTCCCTCCCAGCCTCCCTCCCAGCCTCCCACCCAGCCTCCCTCCCCAGCCTCCCTCCCCGCCCCCTCCCAGCCTCCCCCCCCATTACCTTCCCG